TATATACACAGTATGTTCATTATTAATCTATTGACAGTTTTTTTTCGTGCTGATATATAACATCTGTACTCTTGTTTAACAGATATGAATACAAAACATTTGAAGCAAACAAAAAATAAACATTTACTTACTTTAGGGAGCTGAAGTGCAACAACACCTTGAGTGCAGACTCCTGCGTGGTTGTGGGAAAAAAAGGTCACTGTTGTTTATGTACTTGGGACTTCAGTAATTTCTCATATTTAGCTTTGTGCAACATGTTGTAGAGGTGACATATTAAAATCCTCAGTGAGTGCTCATTGACGGGCCGGACAGAAGTCACCTGCAGGCCACATGCAGCCCGTGGGCTGCCAGTTTTCCATCCCTGGTTTAGATTTTTATTGTGTTTTTGCTGAGTTAGCATATTGTTTTTAGCTTCGTCAGCAGATTTCAGTAAAGTCATTCAGCATTCATCCCTACATTTTTAGTAGAAAATGCAAACTTTTCTATTTTTCTTTTTTCTGATTTCCAGATGAAAATCACAGAAGACGACTTGTGGATTCGAAACTACGGCCGGCTCTACCAGAAACTGTGCTCCTCTACCGGAGACATTCCCATCGGCATTTACCGTACAGAGGCTCACAAGCTTCCCGTGTCAGAGGTCAGACCTTTTTTTTAAACTTTTACATGATTGAAGCGGTGATACAGTATGTTGGTGATCTGAAATAAAGACAGAAAAGTGTTACCAGGTGTGTTTCTGCATCTCAGTCCCAGGTTTCCATCACAGTCGAGGACTACGAGGACACCAGAGAGTCCAGAGAGCCCCTCCTGTCCCGCACCGGAGCCCACCGGAACTCCACCTCCTCGGAGCCCGTCTCCACCACCTCCCACTCCTCGGACCACCCGCTGCTCAGGAGGAAGAGCATGCAGTGGGCGCGGCGGCTGAGCAGGAAGGGAGGCCGGGGGTCCAACGCGGCCAAGGGCGGTCCGGGCAGTGCCGCCGAGAGGATCAGCCAGCAGAGACTGAACCTGTTCAGGCGCTCGGAGAGGCAGGAACTCAACGCGCTGGTGCGAACCAGGATGAAACATTTGGGGCTGTCTCCGACCGGATTCAGTAAGTTTTCAGTTCAACCCAACAAAGTTTAGGTCAAAAGCCTGCCTCTCTGATGGTATGGGGGTGCATGGGCTGCTAGACTCCTACATCAGTCAAGGGGGCTACATGACCCTCAAAAAACTGTTATCCAGATGTTTGTTAAAAGACGAGCGGATGAATCACAGTTAGAAACACGACTCTGGAACAACTTTTTTTGAGATACAATAAGAGTACTTATTTTTTACATTTGGTATGGATATTATGATTTCTTGTGAATAAAATATCTTTGCATTCTTTTTTTACATAATAAAGTAGTCACGCTTTTAAATCCTTTTCACATTAAAATCATTCAGTCGGGGTCTTTATAAAATGGAACTGCAATTTAAATTCCTCCTTATTTTAACTTTACCAGGCCCTCTGTCACCCTTTTACTGGTGTTTCAAAGCAGCTGGTTTTGGTACTGTTCCTTTAAGATGCTTCAAGCCCCGCCCCCTCCTGTTTCCAGACCGGTCCACTCCGATTTGAGAGAGGCGGGGTTAAGTTTTCTAGCTTGCAGAAACACTTTTATTTACAATTTAATTAAACGATGTCAACAACAGAGGAGTTTTCATCCAGCCTTACATGTTGGAGTCAGAGTCTGACCCAGAACCAGAGGAGAATTAAGATGAGGAAATTGTAGTTGGTGAATCCAGACCTAATTTGGCAATTCTGTCACAGATAATTTGACATAATAGCTCAGAAAAACATCATAGAAAATAAGAGAAAACTGAACTGAAAAATATGACCCAAACAGAACATAAAGATATTTTTGCAGCACCAAGAGAGACTAAATCCAACGTTTTTTTGCACTTCTAGAGCCTCCAAATCCAATGAAATCTATTTAACAGCTAAAAAAGTGGATTTTGCATGATATGTGCCCTTTAATCTGACATGGGGTTGTATCTAAATGAAGCTTTCTGTTGTTTAAACGGATGCAGCTCAGTCTCTTCTGTATCCTGCATCTTTTTTTCATTTCCTGCCTCTCTAACCTCTCCTCTTCCCGTGTCAGATGGGATGACAGACCAAGGCAACAGACTGTCGTACATCCTCATCAACCCTTCTCCGGACACCCGGCTGGAGCTGCACGACGTTGTGTGAGTGAGCCGCAGTATGAAAGCGATAGCTCTAAAAACGAACGTGGCGCGCAAACAACGATTAGGACACAATCCCTGACTCGTCTCCACCCCCTCCCCCTCCCTGACTGTGCCCAACCTGCAGGTACCTGATCAGACCAGACCCCCTCTCTCTGGTGCCCAATCAGGGGAACAGCAGGAAGTGCAGCGCCGGACTATCAGAGAGCCACAGGTTTGATACGCAGGATAGCACCCACCTGTGAGGGACAAAGAAAAAGATCACAGCACCGCTGGAGAGAGAGGAAACAAGATCAACGCAATCATGGAGGGAGAAGAGGAGAGAAACTCAGAAAATGACGAGCGAGGGAGTGGGGGGAGGAGACAGACAGATGGCACAAAGCCCTTGTGTTTCCAGAAATGCATGGACCTTTAAAAAAAACCTGAATGTTGGGATATTTTATTTATGCACCTTCCTATTTTTAGTGGAGAGTCGCGGACACAGAAGTGCATTTAATTAAAAACTGTATGTATAAATGTGTTGATGTGCATGTTCTGCATCATGTCCTGTAGCAGCAGCGTGACTGGATCAATGGTGGCGTGCAGATGTTTGAGCATGAGTACAAAGGGATTACTAAGAGAAAAAAATATCCTAAAGTTAAAGGCTTTGTATTCCTTTCGACATTTGAATGCAACATCGTTTTTTGTTTTTAAATGACAGAAAATGTTTACATACGTTTAATTTGGGGCGCCAAATGTAAAATGAAATTCAATATTTAGCTCACTTTTTGAGTGTTAAAAATTTTCCAAAAACATTGTATTGTTATTTAGCTCACTGTTCTTACATTTAGCTTATTTTTACTAAATATTAAAAAACATATTTAAATATTAAATCCTAAATCTAAATGTTTAAATCTAAATGTAAAAGTTAAACCTTAAATGTTGAAGTTACTGTAAATGTTAAGGTTCACATTTAGGTGTTTAGGAATGGAACACAGCTTTTGTTGTTGGTTCTCGACTCATGTTATGACATCATCATCCTGAGACAAAAGCGACCGCTAGCGCTCCAATGCAGCTTGTGGCTGCCCGATCAGTCCCGGTAGCATGATCCATACTGTCAGCTCATTTGCGCATGCGCTAAATGATAGACTTCTGGAATGGGCTCGATTTAGGGGGAAAAAAACCCCAAAAAAACCAGAAAATATTTATTTCTAAACTTAATTATAAAAGTGCGTTACAATATATTCTGAAAACAGTTTTAATATTGTACACATTTTGATTAGAAATATAGATTTACATGATGTAATTATATATATATATTTCATATGTCATCAGTTTAGCGAAATGCTACATGCTAAAAACAATGTTTCCGGGACTGTACGGTTCGTGCTTCCGGAACGGATCGGGCAGCCACGCAGCTAAAGACATCAAACTTGCAGTTATGTCTGGTGTCTGAGCTGCACTCCAAACTGCTGCACCACAGCTTGAACACATTTTGAATTTAGATTTGAAAATAATATCTTCAGCAGTGTTAGCAGTGTCTAGCAGCAACCATTAATGTTTGTCACAAAGGATGACGACGACGTCAAAATGTGTTCATAAAAAAGCGATATGGGTGGTACCTGTGGTCCAGCAGTTTGAAGTGCAGCTCAAACACTTCCTGCATCTGCAAGTTTTGATGTCTTGCAAGGAACCTTTAGTTGCACTGGAGCTCTAGCGGTTGCTAATGTCTCAGGTTGATGACATCATAACATGAGCCGAGCACCAACAACAAAGGCTGAGTTCCATTCGAACTTCGAGATTTAACTTCAACTTAAGGTTTAACTTTTACATTTAGATTTAATGTTTAAATATATTTTGTAACATTTAACTTAAACRTTTAGTAAAAATTGACTAAATGTTAGAACAGTGAACTAAATAATAATAAAACATTACTGGAAAATTTTAAACACCTTAAAATGTCAGCTAAATAATGAAAAATAAGTTAGTGAAATTTTTTAACATTTCATTTTACACTTGGTGCCCCATAGTTTAAAGGCATGAGATTTTACAATTTTTTTCCTAAAAACTCCTTCAACTTTTTCTCTGGTTAAAGGCCCAGCATTCCTTAAAGGAGTGCATATCGCCCGCCTGCCGACTTTCCTGCCAGAGTTTAAAACTAAACTAACCTTGGGAAGAAAAGAGATACAACCATAAAAATGATGTACACTCTTTGGCAGATGTGCAAACACTCAGCATACATGTTGGAAATGACTCTCAGCTACTACCACACAAAGTTTCAGCACAGTATTTGTAGAATTGGTTGAGTTGTAGCTGTTACTGTGTTCCTTGTGATCAGTCGGCTCTGGTGGCCATCTTGAATTGGATTGACTCCAAAAGTGAATCAGTTGTAGAAGAACATCCAGTGACTGATTYCAAGTAGATTCAATAAGATCCATCCAGTGGTTCATGAGATATTTTGCTAACAGCACAGGYAAATTCAGACAAACACGCGATTACCGTTCAAACTTCAAATTTATATTCAAAATGCAGGAAGAAAACGCTTCTTCAAACTTTTGCATGCCACTGTGTGTGTAGTGTGTGTATGTGTGTGTGAATGACAGTATACATGGGGTTGTGGAGTCAGAGCGAGACACTGCCAACTTTATCTGGACCGTCACAGGAACCTGCTGCCAAATGCAAGAGGAGAGGATGTTTGTTTCTGTTTCTCTGTGTCAAAGGTGAGTTTTGTCACCGTCCAYGTTTTTGTCAGAACTGAAACTGACACCACAGACTGTACACACCCCGTGAGATTTTCTTTATCGTTTTGTTTTTTTGTTTTTTTCTTTTCTGGGTTTCGTAAAGCCTTTCTGGACACAATCATTTTACGCTCACCAGCAGCGGAAGAATCCAAAGAGTTTCCCGACCAGTTTCAGTTTTGGACGTGATTAAGCTTTATATTGTCTCTGCGGGGCATTCGGGTCATGTTTCTGTTTAAGGTTTGTCAGTTATCTTTGGATATTTGAGTTCTCCCTCAACGAATCTGACCTGATTTTTTAAAATTTACTTTAATCTTAAAGCCTTTCCCATCCTGCTTCTGCCAGCAGATGTGAGCTGTCCTGTTCGCAGCTTGCTTTTTGCTGATGTGCATGTTAGAAGGGGCCAAAACAAATGGAACATACTGTATCATAACACAGACTCTGTGGTAAATATCCTCTTTGTAAAGCTCATACAGTAATATTGTTGAGAAAGTTTGGGTGTTTATCAAGTTCTCAGGTTAGATTCTGAAGTATAAAGCTTTGCAAGTTTCATGTATTTATTGCACAATGCTATAAATAATCATTTGAAGAAGTTATTGGTTTGCTAATTTAGAATTTATAAAGAACGCAGATTGTTTTTAGTCTGAAAGCTCGTAATTTCTCTAAAGAAAAAGAACCATTCTGATTATTTTGCACACTCTCATTTTGTAGGTTCTGATATCTGCATTTAGAAAAGAAGACTTTGTTAGTGTGATTATTAAAGATCTGCAAGCTTCTGTAAATTCACCGCAAGTTCATTTTACAGTGAAATAACGCAGCCATGTGGTGGGACCCCCTGCCAAACTGCCCCCGTACTTTCTCTGTCATAATAACAAGAGGAAGGAAGAAAAAGATGTACATATTAAAACCTCTTCATGACATTCGTCTTTGCCTTCTTACTGTTTGGTGTCTGTCATTCAGCTGAGAGTGACAAACCACTTCCATTCACCTTGTCAGCCATCTTGAAATTAGCTTTCAGTGTGTGGTGGGGACAGCTATCGGCTGCTACCACTCCAAAAYGTGGCTCAATCTCTCAAAAACTGATTCAGTTGAAGGCAGAATTGAAGTGAGAACAAAAAAACTGTGTAATTAAAGGCAAAGTAGCTGTAAAATGTTCAATAAGACTCAAAGTAACAAAAATTATCCAAAACAAGCAAAAAACTGCAGAAACAAAAGAAAATTAGAAAAGTACAAAAAGGTAGAAATTTATTATAAAATACCTAAAAGCTGAAACTAGTCAAAATATAGCTAGAGTAGCTGAAAAAGCTGAAATTAGCACAAAGAAGCAGAAAGAGCATGTTTGTAGAAATAAGCAGTAAGAAGCTGAAATTATCCCAAAAGGTGAATTTATCTGAAAAAAAAATCAAATTAGCTGAAGACAGATGAAATGAGCAGAAAAATCATCTGAATGAAGAACAAAAGTTTAAATTACCAGAATGAAGCTGAAAGAAGCAAAAAAAAAAAAACAGTTAAATTTAAGAACAGCTTAAAAGAGCAGAAAGACAGATGAAATGTCTAAAGTTAGCAAAATAGGAAGCTGAATGAAGCTGGAGTTAGTACAAAGAAGTAAAATGAGAACAAAAGGTTTAAATGTTTTAAATGATCATTAGGATATTGAAGACAGCTCCATTCATTTTCAATGAGGAAAAAAAGTGGCTGAAAATGCTGAAGAGCTAAAAAAAATATAAAAGTAGCTGAAATACCAAGTCTTAGCACCTGGTATAATTAAGTTGAACATTTTTGTATATGAATTGTTGAAACAGCACTAAAATTGAGGATTAAGTTAGATTTAAAAAAATGGACCATCTGGATAATGTGAATGCTTCATAGCATTCATGATTCGTGAGATTTGTGTGAACGCTTCCTGATATTCACACAAATACCTGTCTGCTGCTCCTTATTCTCAGACAGTAGCACCCAGCAGGGGGGAGCCCTCTTGTGGAGACAGGTGGTCCCAGCATGATTATTAATGCAGGTTTTGGTCAGACGCTCAGCAGGACTTCAGATCTGACTGTTTGCAGGAAACATGAAAAGCCCTGTGAGCGTCTGAGCCAGGCACTGAAGGTCACAAAGCACTGAACTTTTATAGAACTTTTCGTAAAATTAGAAAACTGCTCAAGTTTTCTTTGACCTTTCGGCGTCTCGGGTGTCTTGTTTCTGAGATATTTCCAATTTTCAGCTTACAGACACTTCACCTCAACTCCTCATCTTAAAATGACGACATCCTGATTTTTTGGCTGCAAAGACGAGGTTAGAGAGAAACTTTCTGTTGCCCTTTGGAGAACCTAAAAAATAAAATAAAAACACAGATAAAGCAGAATTTTCTCTTAAAGTTTATTAGTTTATTCATGGTGAAGCATATTCTAAACATCATGATGGATGAGTTCACATTTCAGTGGGTGTTTATGAAAACACAGCTTAGGTTTGGAGAACATGAAGTGAATCTTTACCTGCTTATCGTTCAGTGATTAAAAAACACATTACAGTATCTCAGTTGTATTTATCCATAAAGCCTGACAAATCTCATCAGTTCCTAACTTTACAAGCTTTTCCTGGTTGACTTTTCATTCACAGCTTTAAAACTCGAAGACAAACGCTGTGGTTTTTGGACCTTAGGAAGAAATTTCACAACCTTTCACATCCTGGATGGCTTTAACATGGCCTCCACTTCTAATACCAAAAAACCTCTGTTATTTTTTGATCAGAATAATATAACCCTCATATTAAAAATGCTACCTGGACACTTCCGTTTATCTATATAACTTCACTGAAATGTCATGGAAAGGGAGATGTGGGTGACTAACATTTTGATAARAAGTTGTGTGTTTTGTGCAATCTTAACTTTTGTGTAAATTATCAATGTGGATTTGTTTAAATCTATAAACTGCAGCTAACATCTTGGCCAAGATAAAAGAGATTGTTTTTTTAAGTTGAAATAATTTAATATAAAAGAGCTGGACAGTTTGTAACATCTTCTGTGGATAATTTAAAGTCAATAAAGAGGCTTTCATTTTGCAGAAACAGTGAAATGTGTGAGATGTAATTTTGCACTTTGGCCACTAGAGGGAGATTGATGCTCAGCTGGACACTTTTTTTTTGCTTTCTAGACTGCAATGTACTAAAATTACTTTGGCATTATCATACTCATTTTGCACACCTACCTGCACAGACATCTTCTACTTTTTCTTTTTTACATTTTGAAGTGCACGGATGCCTCCTCGGACGTGGCCTTAAATCACCAGGTCGCACTGTTCCACACAGCCACTTTGGCAGGGCAGATTTTAAGGGGTTCGGGGTTTTTCCCGTTAATGTTGGCTCCGGGGCAGAAGAAAGGGTACATCTTTTCGGTGAAAGTGCCAGTGAAGGTGTAGATGGACTTCATGTTCACGGGGTCGGAGAAGGTCACCTCCCCGGACTCGTAGTCGAGCTGCACCCTGACCCGAGTCAGCTTCCCCTCCAAGTGCAGCGGGGTGCTGGGCCGCGTCATGGCCGAGTACTCGCCCTCGTAGTGCGAGATCATCCAGAAGCCGCCCTCGGGGCAGCCCGAGGTGCGACCTTTCCTGTCAATGGACCCCTTGACCACGCCCAGCATCCAGTCCGCCTTGTCGCCCACCTCCACCTCCCAGGCGTTACGGCCCGACGTGAAGCCCTCGGACCCCAGCACGAACACAAAGTGACCAAAACGCTCTGGGTTGTCTGGGAGCTGCTTCAGGGATCCACTGTTGGCCACTCGAGTTAGATCCGGGGAGAGGGACAACCAGGAGTACGCCGTGTTGGGGTCCAGGGTTATAGGTGCTAAAAGAAAGAAAACAGCATCATAAACGTCTCTCTAAAGAGCAGGACATACCCAGTGCTTAAACACTTCCTAAGGCTTAAATTAATAATTTTTACTTGTCCCAAAACAACAAAATGTTTGATACTTACTGTACTGAACCAGCTCCAYCATCTTCTCCCACACGTGGTACTTCAGAGAGCTCACATGCTTGGCCTCATCGATGAGAGCACCCGACACCTTTTCTGGTTCCTTTTGAGGCAGCTGTGCTCTGTGTGATGACGAGCGACAAACAGGATCAGGTCTGAACAGGTTGTGACGTTCAGCTGCAGAAATTATACGTTAAAAAAATCCTACCTTTTCTTCGTATTGGTATAGTTCTGAAAGGACATCACAGAGAATTACCATGTCTTGTTTGTCTGGGCCAAGGAAAAGAAGAGAGAGAGAGACAAAAAAAACAAAACAAAAACTTACCCGAAGGAATAAAGAATCACTGGATGCGATTTCATTCTCGATGGCGATGACGGCGTGAGAGAAGGTGAGGATGTCTCTGGTTATGCTCTCGGCCTTCTTCTTCACCAGCTCCCTCTTCTCCACGTCCTCCTGCTCCAGAGCAGCCAGACGCTCGGCCTGCTCCCGCTTGAGAAACTCCCGGAGCTGCTCGAAGTCCTGTCTGATCTTCTCCTCGGTGGTCTGCGTCTGGTTCTAGYGTGTGATCAAATACAGATCGACAATGACGGGGGCCGATTTCTGAACCATTACGTCACAGAATTTGCAACGGAACCAAACAAGGTCTGGATTTACCAACAACAATTTCATCGTCTTCATTCTCCTACTCCTCCAGCGTGTAAGGCTGGATGGACAAGTCTTCTGATGTTGACAGATTTTCATTAATTTGTAAATAAAATATTTCTGCGCCGCTATATAGCCGTAAACCCCTCTATCGAACTAGAATGAACCACTCAGTATGTTGGAGGGGGCGGAGTTTGAAGCAACTTGTTTGGATTTAAAGAGGCTGTCTCAAAACGAGTTGATTGGAGACACACCTCAGAAAAGGGGTGAAAGGGGGGGCTTGTGGAGTTACAATAAGGAGGAATTCAGACCAAAGCATTGCCGTTTCACTTTATATAGACCCAAACTGAATGATTTAAATGTGGAAAAGGAGGATTTAAAAGTATATATCCACTTTAATACAACTTTGGCTCTAACATAGTTCGGAATTTGTGTAAAATGTAAATAAAAACATAACGTCATGATGTGCAAATTTCATAAACCCATTCCTTATTTACAGTGGAGCTTTGCAAACATGTAAAATGTTCGAACTAAGAAACTGCACCAAAAATAAATAATTGCATTCTGTTAAACATCTTTTTTTAATTTGAGGTTGAATATTCCTGCAAAACATAAACTCTAACTTCATAATTGATTTTATTTTGAATGTATCAAAACACAACTAGAGCTCAGAACTATAAATGTGACAGAGGGCTGTGTTTGGAGACCGTGCGTTMTGACTCAAGTTCCTTCCTGAAACATCAGCAGAGTTGGCCACACTTGCGTGGAAGTTGGGGACAGTTWCTCTGGATTTGCAAACAAGTTTGTCGATCCTCCTCCTCCCGTTTTTCAAGAAGTGGGACAACAGGGACATGTTGTCACTAAAGGTGGGGGGTCAATTCTCAGCTTTCTTGGAAGATTCTGCACCACGATACAGAAGATAGTTGGCTGAGCTTTGATACGGAAGAAAGAAAGTTTTTCACGGCTGATCGAGCAGTGACCATGGTTTCATGGTTTTTTTCCCCCCCGACCTGCTTGAGTGTGTTTTGATAATTAAAGGAGAACATGTGACCGAATCTTWAGGGACGTCCTACAAAGCACTGAGTTCATCACCCCAGGCTGTTTGTTGCCTGTACAACCCAGCGTAAAGATCACCACTGCCACAATTACATACCGTAAATCTGACTCGTAACAGGTGAGACAAATTCCTCCGGGGTTTGTCCCATTTTTCCTCAAGTTCATTCATTTAAAAAAAAAAAAGGACAGGATCAGGAAACCAGGCCAGCGGCCAACAAGACGCCCAGCTCAGAGAGCTCAGGATYACAGGTCTGCTTTCATCAGAGCAGGTGGTTCTTTTCATGGAATCAAACCATGACCTTAAATCTGCCCTTGTTTATGAAATGTAGTGACAATATAACTCATGAATGAGTCTGAGCCTGTGTCTCGGACTAAAAGAAAAGGTGAATTACTCAATGCAGTGAGGCTGAAAAGCTTCATGGAGGAACCATTGGACCTTTGGTAGAATGAAGGAGGCTCTAGCAGAAGAAGAACACAATAAAACATACAGAAGATGTGTGATGGCTTTATACAGTGGCAGTCTTAACACTGAAACTATCAGTTGGACCACACGGCTTTTTTAGAAACACCATAGTGTGTCACATTGTTATGTTTTGTTTTTTTTCCTCATCTTCCCTTGAGTGGTTTTTAGCTTTCCTGTTAAGGGTTGCTCCTCCTCATGATGTCTTCATGAAGATGATCCTTGCTCTGTGCAGGGTCAGTGGCTGCATGACCCAGAGCACCTGTTCTCCCATGTTTGTTATGTTCTGTCTTCTTCTGAATGGGTTTTCTGAACTGTAATTTCATTGTGCTCTGTACAATGACAATAAAGGTCTAATCTAATCTAATCTAAATCTACTTGAAAGCCTCCCTGATGGCAGCTATATAATAAGACAAATGCTAAATTTAAGCCAGTATTGAATATAATGAGGTTATTTTGTTTATAACTCCTGTCCGTGAGTGATAAACAAGTGTTTCATGGATGTTTGTTGATACCTTGATGTGCACAGTCGTGTCATCACACTCCTGCTTGGCTTCATACAGGCGCCGCAGGTTCTTCTTCAGCGGAACCAGATCGTTCTTCAGCTCTGCCTGAAGAGGAAGGTTATATCCTCGCTCACATCACAAATCTGCTAGTTTGGGGCTTTAAAGTTGCTTTTGAAAACCCATTTGAGAGAATCAGAGRCGATTTACCTTCAGATCCTGGGCTCCCTCCTCCAGAGGACACACCTTGTGTCCCTGGTGCTTCTTGGAGGTGAGACACACGCAGCACATCACCTCCAGGTCGTCCATGCAGAAGAGCTTGACAACTTCCCCGTGCGCGGCGCACCTCTCCTCCGCCGCCGCCGCCGCCAGGGCCCCCTGCCCCGTCCCGGACCCCGGCCCGGCCGCCCTGCGCTCCTGCTCCCTCAGGAAGGTGTCGGCCACGTTCTTCAGGGCCAGGCTGACGGTGGGCTCGGTCAGCGAGCACTTCCTCCTGCAGACGGGGCACTCGCGCCGGGCCTTCTTCTTGTTCCAGAACTGGTGCAGGCAGGCCCGGCAGAAGCTGTGGCTGCACTTGAGCACCACGGGCTCCCGGAAGATCTCGCAGCAGACGGGGCAGGACAGCTCGTCCTCCAGCATGGAGCCCGAGCGCGAGGAGACGGCCCGCGGGCGGAGCGACGAGGCGGGCTTGGCGACGTGGACGAGGGACAGCTTCCCCGGCTGAGAGGACGCCCGGGGCCGCAAGGCCATAATCAGATCCTGCAGTGGGGTGCTGCGCTYGTGCTTCAGCTTGCTGTCGCACATCAAGCTCCGAGTGAGTCCAGAGAGTAATCTGGGCACGCTTTAACCGCAGCCTGAGTTATAGATCAACAAGGACCTGTGGAACTGGTTTACCTCACTTCTAGTAAATAAAGGAAACGGCTCCACCCCTCAAACAATGTGTCCCGTGAAATAAAGACACRATACACTGCTCCTATTTACACGAGGAGAAAAAGAAGCGTTTAAGAGTTTAGCTTTGAAGTGTTTCATTCTAAGAATTACKCGAGGAGATTTCTCTGTTAATCTGGGTCACAACTACTATAGTGTGCCAGCTCTCTGATCACGGCCTGTAAGTGACCCCCGAGCTATCAAATGAACCCATTTGGATCGGATTCCATCAGCTGACAGCCCGCCGACAGGGATTTCACTGTCGACTTAAAAGCCATRCATTTTTCATGAGGACACAGGAGAAGAGGTACAAACACCTTCAGGGAGAGATTCTGGGAACGGCAGAAAAAAAACACCCCAGCTTCTGGCGGGATTGTGTTCTGCTTTCAAAACAAAAMCAACAACAACAAGCTCCAGAAGTGTTATCATCGCATTATATTTAAACATCGACATCAGTGTCATACAAAGTCATCAAAATAAGGTTTTCTTCTTAGTGTTACAGTGTTTGAGCATCAGTTAATTACATCACCCATTGAGATATTCATTAACTCTGAGGAACGAACCAAAACTACAAAATAGATTCATACATTTTAATATACTGAAAAAAAAAAAACMKKTWA